CCTAAATATTTTTTTTTAAAATTACAAAAACACCCTAATAATCCACATTTACCAGATTCCGGCCACCACCACCGGAAAATGGCCGGAATCTGGTAGGATAGCACACTACCAGCTGAATCTGGCTGGTAGTGCGCCGGAAAAGGCCAGATCTAAGGCCAAAGATCTGGCCATTGACGGCCAGATCTTTGGCCGTAACAGTCGGTCATGACGGCCAGCAAACGGTCGTCGTTGACCATCAACGACGACCGTTTGTTGGCCGTCGTTGAGAGCAAATATGGCCAGATCTGGCGGTTGACGGCCAGATCTGGCCGTAGATCTGGCCTTTACTGGCCAGATCCACCGTGGATCTAGCCGGAAAAGGCCATATCGGCGCATGACCGGCAAGATCCAGCCGGTCATGCGCCCATAAGGTGACTTCGGCCACCTCCGGTGGTGGTGGCCGACTGGGGGTGTTTGAAGGTGGGTTAGGGGTATTTTTGTTAACTTTTAATGTTTTATTATAGGGGGTATTTTGTAAAAAAATAAACATATATGGTATTTTATTAATTTATAAATCTTACCTCGTAATACCCGCCCAATTCAACTTTTTTTTAACTTTTTTTAAAAAACTTTTTCCAAAACTCCCAAATTTTGAACCAAACGGAGCCTTGAATTTTTTGAAAAGTTTTGTATGTATGTGGGTCCTTGATTTTGAATAAATGGCCACTTCTATAAATATAATAACACTAGTAGTTAAACGATGCTTATCATTAATCAACACAGAACCTTCTAAACATTAATAAATTCTAAAACCTTAATTAAATGTACGCAAATATTACGTATTAAATCACTTGGTCGGCATCAAAGTGTAAAGAAATGTCAAACAATTGGAAATTCTACAGTTTTCAATTTATTTCAATGGCGGAGGCTATTGTCAATTTGCCATTTGCCAAACCCTTTTATTGAACCAAGCAATATAAAAAAAAATCTGTGGCTTAGATTTGAGTACGAGTTAATTAATAAGTCAAGTCAAAGTAACCCCCACACGTTTTGCGAAAATTCTTTAATCAAAATTCATGTAACATATTCATTCATCAGCAGCTGACACTGTTACTCTCCACCTATTATATTATTTAACTCTCAGGAGATTTTTTGGTTTATTATAAGGGTATATTATATTAACGAAAAGAAAGATCATCTTGAATATTACTACAAATATTTAGAAAATATGTTTGGTTGGGAGGATAAATGAATGGGTATATTATATAGATTACTAAATTGCCCTCCTTTTTAAATATTAATATAATAGTATTTATTATTATTATTTTTTGAATTATTTCTTTTAACCCTCTACATTTGAAATTTTGTTAAAACACCCTAGCCATATAAAACTTTAATTTATAGCAAAATCACCCCCACCCACCCCAAGCCACTGCCGACGGCCGCTGGCAGTGGACGGAATGGTGCATGACTGGTAGTATATGGCCGGTCGTGCGCGGGCAAAGCCATAAACGACCATGGATCACAAATCCATGGCATTTTCACTGCCAAATCTATGGCCATTTCATGGCCAAAGATGTGGCTACAGATATGGCAGTGAAAAGGCCAGATCTTTAGTCTTAAAATGTCACAGCGAAAGATCTGGCCTTTTCACGGCCAAATCTTTGGCTTTAAAACGACCATAGAAATGCCAGATCTAGTCGTTTTCGACCATGGATATGTGATCCATATCCATGGCCGAAAAAGGCCTTACCGATGCACGACTGGCCAGATCCTGCCGGTCGTGCACCATTACGGCTACTACCGTCGGTGGCCAACAGTGGTGAGTCACGACCGACAATGGTCTTGGGTGGCTGGGGGTATTTTGTTAATTTTTAAACTTTTTGTGGCTATGGTGTTTTAGCTAATTTCTCAAATGTAGAGGGGCTGGGTAATTGTTATTTGATAGACATTTGAGGGCAATTGTGTCCGAAATGGTTTTTAATTAAGGGCAAAATGGGAAGAAAAATCCTATTACCTTGATAATGTTTTAATAACAACCTCTAGCAAGGTAATAAGATTATCCCTCACGTTATCAACAGTAATCACTATTTGCAATAAAAGATTACGGTTATATTTTATTACTTGTAAACCAAACACATGAATCTTGCAAAATAAACGAATACTACCCCCGTTATATTATTTATACCCGATCCAAACGGCCTCTTAAGGGGCGTTTGTTCAGAAAATATTGTAATATGTTTGGTTGAAAGGAATAATAGAATTTTGGGTGAAGCCTTTTACTTAATTGTCCTTCTTTTTTAATACTAAGGTGCCAATTTTTTCTAATATTATTATTATTATTATAATATTATATTATTAATTAAAGATAAAATTGTAACAACATTAAGATTATCAAATAATTTTATAATATCTAAGAAAGGGGTGATATTCAAATTACTCTTATATAATCTACATTGATTACTATTTACTATTGGTATTGAAGGATTTGACATCCAAACATGATAATGACAACAATATAAGATGACATTGTTGAAGTAATTGACTAATTACCCAACCAAACACACCCTTATTATTATTATTGTTTATTTTCTAGAATACAATTTTATCTTTTATAAAAATTATTAAAAACTTAAATTAAAATATATTTTTCCTGAGATAAATGAGTTTAGCTGGAATGTTGGATATAATCTATTCATCAAATCCTTTGATTCAACTGCACTTTTCATTTTATGAGAATTCTTGATTGTTTATTACTCTTCAAACCAACCATGGGAATCCATATGTGCTCATTAATCATTAATATAATTTATTTACTTCTATTATAAGCAAAATTGTTTTTATATTTAATGGCTACTATGTACTTAAACAAACTATGTCACATGTTCTCCATTACATAAGGATTAACACTTCCCCCTCTTTTTGATTCATTAAGAAATTTAAAGGGTTTCCTTAATTAATTGTATAACTTCATTACCTTAAGCTATCCTATGCCATTACCGGCAAAACTATGATACAATGTACGACCAAGATCTAGTTAGAAAAAGATGTGAGTAGAAGTTATTCAAAATAGAAATTGGAAAGTTCCATTATATTTATACCATCATATTATGAAAATGAGAAGTCAATAGAGGTGGAGATTAAGCACCCTTGGTATTAAGCATATGTGGTTCTCTTATTATTATTATTATTATTTTGGTAAGTAGGTTTTATATTAAAAAAACAATGAGGTTACAAAGTAACGTGAACGACCCATAAGCCAAAACAAATTAAAACGGCAGAGGCACACACGCTTGTGTCCCAATAACACACAAAATCAAAGAAAAAAAAAGACACAAATGCCTACAAAGGAGCACGCAAACTTGTAAACAGAAACACAAAAGGAGGCACATACAGATCTGAAGGACGAGAGGATTGTGACTGGAGCATGGGCCATTCCATGTCGAAGTGTAGGTCCACCCCGACGTCTTTAGTGGGGATAGTAGGAACCATAGCTAACGACCCTTCATGACTATCAACAGAAGACTCGTTACTTGATTGGTCCCTAGTTGACCTTTTAAGGGCTTTGTGGATGAAAGATCACGACCTCCATAAACGGGTCACCACTCAAGAGGACATCCGTCAAAGAAAGATTATAAATATATTAAAAAATTTAATAGAATGAATGATTAAAAAAACTATCTGTGGAATGACATATGGCACGTCTAGTTGTAGTCCCTTTTGAATTTGGGCCCAACAGGTGAACTGGGTCGTGACAGGATTCAAATCATTTGAGAAATTGATTTGGAGTCAATTATCAAGCCCATGTTCTATTTAGATTTTAGACTCACCAAAAAATAGTTTTGAGAAAACAGTTCAATTGATCACATGTATATTAACTTGGCTTATAATTATAGTGGGATGTAAGGGCATCTTTTTAAAATATAGTTCAACATTTGGTACAGTACTAGGTGTTTGTGCAAATATTCAATTTTCAAAGCTATACATTATTAGGCCTTTGCCCACTTAATAGTCTTTGACTCATTGTTTTGTTGGTGCTTTAGTCAGATGACGACTTTTTTGTTGTCTTTACTTTAATGTGTCTACACATCACAGAGACCATCAAAAGATGAAATTTGTGTCACAATATTTGACTACTTCGCTTTTGTTTTGATATAAACAATCTCAATGCAATTGCTTATTCCCCATACACTGTATATGTGAATTCTAATCCTCATATTTTTCACTTGATATGATGTTTGTGTATTCGCTTACACCATTACAAGAGAATTGGTAAAGACATCGTGCCTACAGTAAACATTGTGCGAAGCTAATAGCTATTAAAAGCATCTAAGTAGTAAGCTTACCCTTAAGGTGGGTGTTCTTCTATTCCAACTTCCCTAAAACTTTTGCTAGCACGGTCGAGAAAGCGATGGATCTTCTTCCCATACGAGGATAAAGTCATAAAACGTGACAGTTTAGAGGATTCAAGACAGATCACAACAAAATGAGTCGTTTATCATTATAATAAGTGTCAAGTTAAAGTGTGTATGCAATTGTGACATTTTAACTAATATAAAAGTTTAGATAACAAATTAATGAGAATAATTACTCTCATAGTAACTAATATATAATGTATTAACATACAAACTCTATGGGGTTATTTTGACTCTTTATTAATTTTTGGGTTCAAACTTTTGGATCACAAATATTTGTGGCTTACCATCTACTTTGAGAGAATTTGCAAAGTTGGGATACTTTAGTAATGTGAGGCAGAATATTGGGAGAGAGATCCGAAAGAAAGAGAGACCTTCGCCCAATATCCAAAACACAAGGCAGCAGCGCAGAGACAACGAACACCTGGAATCTCTTAAACACTTCCTTTGTCTCCTCCTAAAGCCAAAAATATTCAAATCACACCCACACGAACCCCACTCACTCTCTCTACAGTGTTATCTGTCGCCTTCAATTGTGACTTTTGCTCCACCACTCACACTACACACTTCACATTCCCTCTCTCTCTCTCTCTTCCCCCTCTCTCTACTCTTTTTTTTTTTTAATTATAAATTAGGGTTTCTGTCACAATGACTTCTACTACTACTACGACTTCTCCCAATAATAATAATACTTCTAATAATAATAATAACAATACTCCTACTAAGGAAGCAGACGAGGAGCTTGTTGTGGGTCAGTCTGTCGAGGCCGTTCAAGCGTCTGTTCCGGAAAAGGCGGAGACCATTAGTGCTGGCCGTGCTGAGGAAGAAGAGGTGGGTGTGAAACCGGAGGATCCGATGGAGGAAGATTCGGTGAATCCGGCTACTGTGTTTTGTATTCGGCTTAAACAGCCTAGGTCTAATTTGCAGCATAAAATGAGCGTGCCTGAATTGTGTCGAAATTTTAGGTAGGTTCTTGTCAAGTTGTTGAATTGGGTTTATTATTTATGTGGGTTTGATCAATTTTTGTTCTTTCAGTGCTGTTGCTTGGTGTGGTAAATTGAATGCTATAGCTTGTGCATCTGAAACTTGTGCCAGAATTCCGAGGTACTTTGTGTTTTGCCCTTTTTCCATTTTCAATCGCTTTGGAGTTAAATTTTGTGTTTCAGATAAATGTGAGTTCCTGTGTTGACCTTCCTGAACATAGGTGAATTGGTCTTATATGATGTTTTGTTTTTGTAGTTCTAATGCAAATCCACCATTTTGGATTCCTATACATATTGTGATACCTGAGCGACCTACCGAGTGCGCAGTGTTCAATGTCATAGCAGGTAACTTGATGTTTCTTGATTTTTTTAATTGTATTATCTTATTTGTATTCTAGTTTTAAGCATATTATTCTATGTTGTTGGATGAACTGAGTGTTCTTGTTGTTTATCTTAGTAAGGTTGGGAAACTGTTTGCTCCTATGATGTGATAGTATTGTTCTAATACATATATTATTATTTAAGATATTGTTGTTATTAAGGAAGTGGAATACATATATGTATTGAACAATGTCTAGCAAATGGTTTATTGTTTAGGATGTCCATTTGATGTACTAGCTCTAATTCTTGTAATTTGTAGATTTTTACTCTCTATGCTGAAGCATTGTTTTTCTCTTCGATTGAGTATCAATATCGTGTAATTGCTTTGAATACTTTTTGCAGATTCTCCTCGTGATTCTGTTCAGTTTATCGAATGGTCCCCTACTTCATGCCCTCGTGCCTTATTAATAGCTAATTTCCATGGGCGGATAACTATCTGGACTCAGCCTTCTCATGTAAGCTAGCCCTGCTGCACTAATTCCTTGAAATACTTTTATTAGATGCCTTATGATGCACAAGTTCTTAGCATGCTTCTCTTTCTTTTCTTTTCTCTTGTTTTTTCATTTTGGTGCAATGACACAGGGGTAGATATTTGTTGCCTCTTGGTCATAAGTTGTTTTTAAGCATACTAGTGGTTTGTATATGTAGGGGGCAGCCAATCTGGTACGTGATGCGAGCTGCTGGCAGCGTGAGCATGAATGGCGGCAGGATATTGCAGTTGTTACAAAGTGGCTCTCAGGGGTGTCTCCGGTATGCATTTGGCTATGTCTTCTGCTCATTTGATGCTTGGAAACTTAATATATCTTGCTCATGTTTTATCCTAAGCACTTTTGCTTTGTTTTACCTGTTTTCATGATCAGTATAGGTGGCTTTCCTCAAAATCCGCTGTTGCTTCTAACTCAAAATCAATTTTTGAAGAAAAATTTCTTTCACAACAGTCTCAAACTTCAGGTTTGGTTCTTTCCGCTTCATTATTGTTTACACTAATCATGCACACGATGTTTTAGGTCTGGTTTGCAATCTTCCATTAAACTGTGGGTTCTTGTTATCCCTTGTTGACTAGCATGTTACATCTGGATATATCAATTCACTTCTACTGTTACTTTGTGAACGACTTGGATCAGATTGTACTGAAGTTATTACCAGAATAGTTTTGTCAACAGTCCTGTCATAATAGTTTTAGTAAATGATATCACTTGAGTTTGTGGATAAAAACTTCCTTTTGGTTTTTAGTCAATGAATCTTCACGTTGGTAACCTTTTATCTTTTCCTTTTGATGATGATGCTATGGATGGCAGATATATTTTTTAGGGTTTTTTACTTATAAAACATATCATACAAAGTTATAGAAAAATAACCATTATGTTTTTTCTAACAGAATAATATGGTTTTCTTTCTCTGTTTTTACTTTCTAAACAAAAATAACCACTATGTTGATTACTTAGGATTGATTTCTGAGGTTAATAATCATGTGACCAGACTTGTGTTGCTAGTCCAGTTGTTAAACAGCTTATTATGACAATAATGTAGCCTTTGTTCAAATGTTTTTTTTTTTTTTTTTTTTTTTTATAAAATAAAATTTGAATTTCAGTCAATGGATTTGCTGATGCAATACCTGGTTTTCACTTCAGATAGGTGGCCCAATTTTCTCTGCGTTTGCTCCGTTTTTTCATCAGGCTCTGTACAGCTTCACTGGTCCCACTGGCCTCCTAGTCAAAATAGTACATCATCAAAGTGGTTTTCCACAAGCAAAGGGCTTTTGGGTGCTGGGCCTAGTGGGATCATGGCTGCTGATGCTATAATAACGGACAGCGGTGCCATGCATGTGGCAGGTGTTCCAATTGTTAATCCTTCTACTGTTGTTGTTTGGGAGGTCACTCCTGGCCTAGGGAATGAGTTTCATGCAACTCCGAAGACAAGTACTGGCAGCGAGGTTCCGCCTTCTGTTAAACCACCCAAATGGGCAGGTTTTGCTCCTTTGGCTGCATATTTATTTAGCTGGCAAGAGTATATATTATCTGAAGCTAAGCAAAAAGGAAAGTTGACAGATCAAGATTTTAGTGATGCTGTATCCCTTCATTGCTCTCCAGTTTCAAATTTTTCGGCATATGTGAGTCCTGAGGCTGCAGCTCAATCTGCAGCAACTACTACATGGGGCTCTGGAGTGACTGCAGTTGCCTTTGATCCAACCCGTGGTGGTTCTGTGATTGCTGTTGTTATAGTTGAGGGTACTCATCTATTTTCTTGGCTTAAAACTTAATTTCTGATTTCAATTTGTAAGCGTTTCTAACCGAGGCATGCATTTTTGTTGATAATTTCTATTTTCAGTTACATTGTGCAGTCTTGATATGTATAATCTTGTTTGCTCCTCTACATATTTTTTGTCCTCAACATGCATCACCTGTGCTTTCATATGAAACTACAATTTTATCTGACTATTCTAATTTGATTTCTTATATGTCCTTTCTTTAAATTTTCATAAATGCTTTTCCTTGTATTTCAATGGTACTTAGATCAAATATTCATTTCATATAATATTGCAGTGTTCCTGGGTCAGAATATACGTTGCCTCTGTAATTGGAATGCCATTTGGACCTAGATCTCTCTCTTTTTCCTTCCTGTTAGCTGGTTTTAAGGGAATAAATTATTATTGTTCGTCTTCCAGTGACATTTTCTGTAGTCTGATATCGATATTGTATTTTCAAAATCTCCCATGCATAATCTCAAATAAATTCACTCTTCACCAATATTTTGTCTCTCTCTTGTTTTTTTGATACCCAGAAATCCTTACAGATTGCAGCTAGGTGGAGAGAATAAACAAATACATTTTACTGTAATGTTTATGTTACTTTCATTATCTTTTTAGATGTAAATTTTTTTTACAACTTTTTGGATTCCATCAGTCCTACGATGATATCTTCTCTTTCTCTGTTAGAATTCTGCACTTGCTTGTGTAAACCTTTTGCTGCTGCATACGAGTGTAATCCTAGCCCAAATGTAAATTCATCTATTACTTGCCCCTCTCTGTATCCTTGTTTGGATTTTTTTTCTGATGTAATAGAGCAAATCCTTTCCTGGAAACATTTTCTATAGATATGGGAAATTCTGGGCCTGACTTCTATTTTTTTTTTTGGAGTTGAATTTCTTTATATATCTAGAGATGATTAGATTCCGTGGAAGTAATAGTGAAGTTGACTTGTGACAGGACAGTATATGTCGCCATATGATCCAGATGAGGGTCCTTCGATCACAGGGTGGAGGGTTCAACGTTGGGAATCATCACTTCAGCCGGTCGTTCTTCATCAAATATTTGGAAATCCTACTTCTAGTTTCAGTGGGCAGGCACCCATGCAAACTGTTTGGGTGTCCAAAGTAGATACAAGCATACCGCCAATTAATGATTATAAGATTTACCAATCAGCTGCAGGACTGACCTTGGATGTCAGGAAAGCAACTGATTCTGGTGTGGAGAAGGCAAAAAGAGTCAGTTTTGATCCCTTTGATTTACCAAGTGATGTCAGAACACTTGCTCGAATTGTTTATTCTGCCCATGGTGGTGAAATTGCAATTGCCCTTCTACGTGGTGGGGTCCATATTTTTTCTGGTCCAAACTTTGCACCTGTGGATAACTACCAGATTAATGTTGGATCTGCAATAGCTGCACCTGCCTTTTCTTCCACAAGCTGCTGTTCAGCTTCTGTTTGGCATGACATTAGCAAGGACCGCACCATATTGAAAATAATTCGTGTTCTTCCGCCTGCTGTCATGAGTAGTCAAGTGAAGGCCAACTCATCAACCTGGGAACGTGCAATTGCTGAGAGGTACTGTACAAAATAAAGTAGTTATTAGAAACCTGTCAGGAGTTTTATTATTATTTTTTTTTTAATGCTTCTCCCTAGATTATATTGGATGGACTAAGTAAACAAATATAACCCGTTTTAATGTTTGTATCTATGTTTTGTACCTCAATAACCCTCATTAGATGTACAAAACTAGGCAAATATATTAATATGTACTAAAAAATATGAATTTGGAAAAGTGACTGTTGATTATTTGCTAATTTAATCTGTTAATAGCAATTTTATGTGAAAGTAATATATCAACTAAGTATGTCCACTGATATTCAGTAGCAGGCATTTCATTTGTATCTTTATGTATACTTGTCATGATTTGGCATTTCTGTTGCCATGTCTAGAACTTTTGATTGGTTTTTTTAACCAACCAAACTATACTTTGTCAAATACTTAACGGGTGACTGTCATTTTAATGTCATACTTGGTGCTGTTGATTATTTATTATTGTGAGCTGTTGATTATTTATTATTGTGAGCAGGTTTTGGTGGAGCCTTTTGGTTAATGTGGATTGGTGGGATGCTGTTGGCTGTACTCAGAGTGCTGCTGAGGATGGCATTGGTAATATTGTTTAGACTTTGTGTTAATATTCATGTTGTGTGATATTGATAAAGACTAATGAAAAGTACCTTATTCTTCTAAAAGTTGCACAATGATTTATTTTCCTTCATTTATGCTGTCTCCTGGAAAAAATATTTGTAGCAACTGTTGGCACCTCTTTTTGATGATATTTCCCTTCGTTTCTTTCAGTTTCACTGAACAGTGTCATTGCTGTATTGGATGCGGATTTTCATTCTCTTCCTTCTATTCAACACAGGCAACAGTATGGTCCTGTATGTGTCTCTGGTCTCCTGCCATCTCTCTGTCCCTTGCTGATTTATTTTCTAATTCTGCTCGTCTGTTGTGTATGTTCAATAACGTCTAGACTACTTTGGTTATGTTACTGATTGATTTCAAAGCTTAAGTTGATAAGTAGGGAACCAACATAAATATTTACGTCTAACATGTCCCCTCATGCGCAAGGTACATGGGTGAACGTACCACAACCACATCAACAAATACACCTTATCATAATTTAATTGATGCATTAGGGGATTCAGATAAAGAGCACTTGACTGAAAAACTTAATCTCATTGGTGAGGCTCAACATTTGTATCTACCACCTCGGGCAGGCCTGTTTATCAACCAAACTGGCATATTATGCCATGGCCATGTAATGCATTATTTTGGGGGTTTTAGGGCAGTGGGGAGAGCTGTTTTAATGATAGTTCATGCATTATTGAATTTTTTCTTTTAGGTCTAAATTTTTGTTGACTGGTTTTACTTGTTTGGGTAAGTAAGGTTGTTTTTTTCGTAAATTGCAGAGTCTGGATAGGATAAAATGCAGGCTACTGGAAGGTACTAATGCTCAAGAAGTTAGGGCAATGGTTCTAGACATGCAGGCAAGGTTGTTGCTGGATATGCTGGGGAAAGGAATTGAGTCAGCTTTACTAAATCCTTCAGCTTTGGTGCCTGAGCCCTGGCAGGCCAAGGCTGATACACTATCTGGCATTGATCCTGAAGCAATGGCTGTTGAACCTGCCCTTGTTCCGAGTGTTCAGGTCATCTTTTTGCTCTATTTGACTTTCTATCATGTGTATTTACATTTTGGTCCTGTAGAATTTTGTGGTAGTGAATATCAGCTAATGCTTCCAGTCAGGACATTGTGACAAACCCATTTGGTTCCAGTTCTGTGACTGTTATTGGATAGCAACTGTGGGCATGTCTTTTGTGGCTGGCGTTTTCTTTCTTAACTGTTTCTCTTAAGTTATGTATCTGAGTTTAGTAAAGGCTGTAGAATGGGTGTGTAATTGGGCTATGTCCCAGCTGTTATACTGGAAACTGATACCAACCAAACAATTTATATGTCAGCCACTTTTGGCTTGTCTATAATGCTCTAGTCCATGCATTGTTGTTGGGCTGGTATAAGGTGTCCCTCCTAATCAGCTCATATCTCCTATAGTATTGTGGGTTATTTTGTTAAAAATACTGTTGAAGATGGCCTGATTTGTTCTGGGTTAAAACTTGATTGAGTTGAGTGGCTTTGATATTTTGACTTCTTTAGCTAAACTAATTGTGAAAATGTGATGCAGGCTTATGTTGATGCTGTTTTGGATCTAGCTTCACATTTTATCACACGCTTGCGACGTTATGCAAGCTTCTGTCGCACATTGGCTAGCCACGCTGTTAATGCAGGAACTGGCAGCAATCGCAGTATGGTGGCTAGTCCTACTCAAAGTTCGGCATCTCCTGCGACAAGTCAGGGTCAGTATGCAACCAATAGTACACGTTTAAAGGAAGCAGGTGAAACTTATTTTGCAATGTTGGGATTCTTCCCAAGGAAATTTATAAGTTCTGTAACCCCTCTTGATTTGAATAGACTGAATTCCAGTCAATTCTAAAACATTTGGTCCTGCTTCAGACATTTGTCTCCTGATGAAATCTCTAGAAATTAGGAACTAGTCTGATTTATTTTAATGTACTTCCTGCTTTTTTTCTTCTTCACATTGTTAGAATGAATACTTCTTCTAATGTTATAATGTCATATTATGCAGCTGGTCAAAGTGGTACAGCAAGTTCTACTGGAAGCACCCAGATGCAAGCTTGGGTACAAGGTGCTATTGCTAAGATTAGTAGCACCACAGATGGAGTGTCCAATTCAACCTCAAACCCCATAAGTGGTCCATCTCCCTTTATGCCAATAAGCATTAACACAGGGACTTTTCCTGGAACACCTGCTGTTCGGCTCATTGGGGACTGCCATTTCCTTCATAGATTATGTCAACTTCTGCTTTTCTGTTTTTTCTTTCGGCGAACTCAACAACCCCGCCTTGTGGCTGGTGCACAAAGAAATACGGATGCAAATATGCAAAAACCTCAGCCAGGAGGTCTTGGCAAAGTGGAGGAGATCAATTCTGTTTCTTCCAAACCTGCATCAGCCATGGTCAGGTTGGATGAAGGTCAACTAACTAGAACTGGTCAGACCATACCTGGTGCAAAAGGAGTTGAAGAAGGTCCTGCGAGCCGGCCAAAATTGGGTTTGGGTAATGCAGGTCAAGGATACACATTTGAGGAGGTAGAAAAAAGATTCTTTTTTGCTTTCTTATGGTCTCTAAATTAAATGTTTGTATGTTACGTTAGTAGCTTCCAATTTTGCATAAGCCTTGTTTGGTAATTTTGATAATTCTTTCCACAAAGAATCAATAAGGAGATCTGAGACCCTAGGTTTGACATAATGAAGTCCATATGTTGCTATTGTGCAGGTGAAGGTCCTTTTTCTCATACTTATGGATCTCTGTCGACGTACAGCAGCTTTAGCACACCCATTACCCGTTTCTCAGGTGGGGAGCAGCAATATCCAAGTGCGGCTGCATTATATTGATGGCAATTATACTGTATTGCCTGAAGTTGTAGAAGCCTCCCTTGGTCCACATATGCAGGTATCTAATGTATATAGTTTAAGTTTAGTCTCTCTCTCTCTCTGTCTCTCTGTCTCTCTCTCTCTCTATTGTCTCATCTAGGGTAGGGTGAGCTGCACAATGACATTTGTCTGTTAACGCAAGTAAACGTGCTTAAACAGGTGAGGCAAAATGCCTACCTTAGTTGCATTGTGTTCTAAATAACAAGGGAGGTTTTGATCTTAAATTTTTCCCCAGTTCTTAGTTAATATGTATTATTGAAATTCTGATCATTGTCTATGTTTTATGTATCAAGGATTACATTTCTTTCCCGAGTATGTTTATTTAAGCAAGGCTATGACCTTAATTTGTCCTGGTTCTTATGTGATGTTTATTTGTTGAAATTCTTGTAATTTGTTTTTCTTTTATTAACATGGATTACATTTCTCTGAGCTTCTATATTCTGTCCCCTATTGTGTTTTACACAGAACATGCCTCGGCCTAGAGGTGCAGATGCTGCTGGACTTTTACTCCGTGAGTTAGAGCTCCACCCACCAGCTGAAGAGTGGCACAGGAGGAATATGTTTGGGGGCCCATGGTCTGATCCAGATGATATGAGCCCTGTAGATGATACTCCCAGGCTAGTACATGATGTCAACTCACTTGGAAATTATGAAGTTCATTACGGTGCCCATGGATTGTGGCCAAGGAAGCGTCGAATGTCTGAAAGAGATGCAGCTTTTGGCTTGAATACTTCTGTAGGCTTGGGGGCTTATCTGGGTATTATGGGATCTAGAAGAGATGTTGTTACAGCGGTGTGGAAGACTGGTCTTGAAGGGGTTTGGTACAAGGTATGAGACGAAGTTTCCTTCACCTTTCTTCTGTTCTTTTGATTTATTGGTTATTGAATATTTAATGATGCTTTTTTTATTTAGTACGATTCCCAGGGATAAATGTTTCTAGTGTGTATGCCTTAAGGATAATGTCAGTCATGATACATAGATAAGAGTCTAATGATGCAATTTTTATAAAATCGTGGACCTTTCATTTGTTAACTTGAATGTTATTTGATCCTGAGTCTGAAGGTTTTTGGTTTGGGTGTCATTTGTATCAGATGAAGTTGAATTTTAGACTTAGTATATAGTTAGACTCCAGAGTAAATAGATGCTGTGCTGCTTTTCTTCTTTGACATATCGCACTATACTTCTAGAATTTCTGGTGATCTAAGGGTTAACCAAATGTTGAGTTGCTTTGAAGGATTTTGATGTACATGGAACATCTTTGTGCATGCTTGTGTATTTCCTAGTCTTCCTTTCTTTGATATTGTATTCCTTAAATCTGTCTCATAAGTTTGATTATGCTGTGATGCAGTGTATAAGATGTTTGCGTCAGACTTCAGCTTTTACTTCACCAGGTGCTACTAATCCACCTAATCAAAATGATCTAGAGGCTTGGTGGATCAGCCGCTGGGCATTTGGTTGTCCAATGTGTGGCGGAACATGGGTTCGGGTGGTGTAGATGACTGATCGTATAGGACTCACATCCCCTTGGGTGTTTAGCGGAAACAATTCCAAACCAGACACTATGCATATAGCTGCTGATGATTGACAATTATCTGAAGTACTGAACAGGCGTATGTAGGAGTTTACTTGTTGGATCTGCCACCACTAAAACTGGAGGATATACATAAAAGTATTGCATTGCAGATGGTAAACTCATTTCAGTTTTGATGGACTCTTTTGCTGAAATTCCAAGTACCGTGGTTAGGATGATTCAATAGAGAAGCAGACGGCTTGCTGGAACCTGTTTTCTCTCGGATCAGTTGGCAGATGCTATTGGTTTCGTGTTTATAATGTATTATATTTTGGTAAGAGAGTTTTGAAAGTAGAATTTTTTTTTCTTTTCAGTCGCCTTAGGAGGTGACAAGAAATTTTAGGCTCAAAATCCATCCCCCTTGGAAGGTTATTGTTTTGTTGTACTTTGTTTGTTCATCACTAATACTACTTATATTGTATATTATAAGAAAATAATCTTTTGTAAGGGTGGCAAATAAATAGTTGCTAATTGTGGGGACTACCTTAAGTTTTCATATGACTTCTATTGTTCAACAAATTTTTCATTTGTAGAATAAAAAATGAGGATGGAAACGAATTGGACCTCATCTATTGAAGAAAAGTATTGGGTTCTTTTAATAAGTAAACGCCTTTGGTTTGCCTTAAATGACAACTTTTCACTGGAAAAGCTTTAAAATATCACTTTTTTATCCAAAATTAATTACTACAAAGTAATTAATTACTACAAAGTTGATTATGATGACAAAATTTTTTTCGTAATCATCACTTAAATATCTAGTCTCCTTTTTATGAAAACTCTCTTATTCTACCTTTTGATTTCTCATCGATTATTGGCTACTGCAAAGTTAGGGTTTTCTATTTTTAATTGATTTTCGATTGATTTTTATAGCGAATATTCAATCGGTTACCACCATTCGATTTATTAGTCTCTACTCTATAAAACCCATCTTAACTTGGCTCTTAATAAGTGATAACTCGTCAAAAGTTGACTAAAAAAATGAATTATATTTTGTGTATTAAAAGGATATAAACTTCAGATGGAAAGATGGTATTTTGAAATTTTTAGGGTGAAAAGGGTCATTAAGGGAAATCTTAGGAGGGAAAAGGTCGCATACTCTATTTTAATTATCGAAAAATTTACAATTATTAAAAAAATATATTTTATTAGAAAAGAATATAAATTTCTAATTCAAATCTTATAGATATTGAGTAGGTTTTTTTATTTTTCTTTCATCCAATATAAATTTACGTAAATCAATTTATATACTTTTGTCTCCTGTTTTTTTATTAAAAAGAAAATTGTACATTAAATACGTGCACACTGAAACCATAGACTTAAAAACGCCGTTAGAAAGTAGAAACGGCGTTTCTGTGAACTGGAAGAGCTTGTTTATGCCGGACAAGTTTGCCAATTGGGATCCTTGAAATTCAGTTGAACTCAAATCTGAAAGTGAAAGTGAGATTGAGATTGAGTGAGAAACGATGAGCTCAACGCCAGGAACGCACTCGCTGGCCTTTAGAGTGATGAGGCTATGCAGGCCATCTTTACACGTGGAACCTCCACTTCGTTTGGACCCCGCCGATCTCTTCGTCGGCGAGGACATTTTCGACGACCCAATCGCCGCCTCCAATCTCCCTCCTCTCTTATCTAGCCACGTGGACTCCACCAACAACTCCTCCGATCTCAGCTACCGCTCCAGATTCCTCCTCCACGACCCTTCCGATTCTATTGGCCTCTCCNAAAGTGAGATTGAGATTGAGTGAGAAACGATGAGCTCAACGCCAGGAACGCACTCGCTGGCCTTTAGAGTGATGAGGCTATGCAGGCCATCTTTACACGTGGAACCTCCACTTCGTTTGGACCCCGCCGATCTCTTCGTCGGCGAGGACATTTTCGACGATCCAATCGCCGCCTTCAATCTCCCTCCTCTCTTATCTAGCCACGTGGACTCCACCAACAACTCCTCCGATCTCAGCTACCGCTCCAGATTCCTCCTCCACGACCCTTCCGATTCTATTGGCCTCTCCGGCCTCCTGGTCCTCCCCCAAGCCTTCGGGTCCCTCACTAACTGACATCTGTCTCACTTTTAATTTTCTTTTTTTTTTTCAAAAAGCTTAAATTTAATCATTCTATTTGTATTGATAGGGCGATTTATTTGGGAGAGACATTCTGCAGCTATATTAGTATTAACAACAGTTCAACATTTGAAGTTAGAGACGTTATTATTAAGGTAAATTCTTTATATAAATTCTATTATTTCACTTCAAGTCAACATGTTTTGATCAAATAAGTTCATACTTCTATTGACAAATTATGGCCATGTTCGTTAATAATAGGCAGAAATTCAAACGGACAGGCAGAGGATTCTCCTCTTGGATACATCAAAATCACCTGTTGAATCAATACGTGCAGGAGGACGATATGATTTCATTGTAGAACATGATGTCAAAGAACTTGGACCTCACACGTTGGTTCTTTTTATCTGTTTATTTTTTATTTTTTGTGACTATGGTATCAATTTTATTTTATTTTATTTTTTTTAACCTTTTAGGCTGGTGTGCACCGCATTGTATGGTGATGGGGATGGAGAGCGAAAATATCTTCCACAATTTTTCAAGTTCATTGTTGCAAATCCACTTTCTGTTCGGACGAAGGTATTAGACATTTGTGTTATGCGTAATGGAACTTTAAATTGTTTGAGTTGAAAACAAATTTGTTTTTGATCTCGGATTTAGTACTTATTTCTACTCTTTATGCAGGTCCGCATTGTTAAGGTAGGTTATCATTGACTAAATTTTCTGGTGCAAGATTTTGGAAATCATTGTAAGAGGTGATGCCTTTGAAAACTATGTTATAGATAGTTGTATCTTCTATCTCAGGAAATGACATATTTGGAGGCTTGCATTGAAAATCATACGAAATCAAACCTTTACATGGACCAAGTTGAGTTTGAGCCAGCTCAGCATTGGAGTGCAACAATGCTGAAAGCTGATGAACCTGATTCCAACAATAATTCTCAAAGTAGGTATGTAACAAGGTTATATTGGGGATATCTTGAATTGAAAGATTGTGTCTCTTGTTTTATTTTCAATGAAAGTGTTCTTCATTCTTTAAATATTCTTTATTTTGTTAATTTTCAAAATCTTATTTATCCCCATTTTCATTTCCATTTATGATTATATGTTTACAGAGAGGTATTTAAGCCACCAGTGCTGATCAGATCTGGTGGAGGAATTCACAACTATCTTTATCGGTTAAGAATGATTTCCAATGACTCTACACCTGTGAAAGTTCAAGGAAGTAATGTTCTCGGAAAATTTCAAATAACATGGCGTACAAATTTGGGCGAACCTGGTCGCCTACAGACACAGCAAATTCTTGGCACTGTAAGTTCTTTCTTTAATATTCAAAGACAAGAAAGCTTGATTCTTCAAAGTCTTGACATATCTATCAGTTTACTGAAATAGTCATCATTTATTTACTCTCTTTCTGCCTTTGTTCTATCTTTTCTGTTTTACTTGAAAAAAATTCTTGTGAAAGTGATAGATTAAGTTGATACACATAGGTCTACAACTACGAGAGCAAGTAGCACAGTTTGTTTTAGCAGAAACCTTCTCTTACATTATTTGTCATTTCAGCAGTTACACAATTTATAGGGGTTTTACAGATGCATGCATGCATGTGAATACCTTTCACTTCAACTATTTGTGTACGCGACATGCATGTGCTTTTTAGGGGGATTTTGTACTCACTATCTTGAAACTTCCTTCTACAGCCTATCACAAGCAAGGAGATTGAGTTGAATGTTGTGGAGATTCCATCTGTTGTCAGTGTAGATAAACCTTTCTCGGTAAATACAGTTTAATAGCATTTTATTTATGAATTATAGTGTACCCTCTTTTGTACATATCTATTTGTTAAAGAGTTTCAAGTTCATGTGTAGTTTCCACTTCTGATTTTCCTTCTTTAACTGTTAGTGGGTGAACAAATTTGTGTTGGTTGGAATTAGTTTGGAAGCTGAACCAGTCAGTGTTTCATGCAGTTACACTTGAAGCTTTCAAACCAGATGGATAGGGAACAAGGCCCCTTTGAGGTTTGGTTGTCACAAAGTGATTCACATGAGGAGAAAGTTGTTATGATTAATGGGCTGCAGATAACGGTAATGCATTTTATTGGTTCCCTAACTCCTTTTTCATATATCTGTAAAAATAGGGCATATATTAGATATATGTGTATAGGCTTACTGCTTTGTAATGGTACTGATAGATGGATTTGACTGTCTACAGGTCTTACCTCGGCTGGAGGCTTTTGGTTCTGCAGATTTTCACTTGGTATGAACAATAGTTCTTATCTGTTCCTTCTTGACCATTTTTATTTCAGGCACTGAATTCGGTCTAAATTTTAAACGTCTCCCCACTTAAAATCTTGTTTGAATTGTTAAGATTTTTAGCATTAAACAATTTAGAACATAAAACAAGGTTGTTGCTTAGGTGTTCAAAACTTCTACTGGAAAAGTTTAAAATGATTCAGAGCGTTAGGTTGAATCTGAACAGTATTCCCCATGTTAGATGTTTGGGTTCCTTTGCTATGGTCTATGATGATCGGGCTCCTTTGCTATGGTCTAATAAATATCTCCGCACACCTTAATCTCAGACTCTCAGTCAGAGATGCACAAAAGACAAATTGTTCTGCAGTTATTAGAGTATACCACATTGGCTTATATGCGTGACAATTGCATCCTGTCATCAATACTTCACCTATTGATTACCGAACCTCCTGGTTACCTTATTGTTATTATATTCAAGTAAATACGCTTGAGTCATGGGTTTGAGAGTTGGAATATTACTGAATTTGGTTGATTAAAAATCTCCATAATTTATTATACCTTCACTGAAGAAGAAGACCAAAAAACATAAAATAACTATAATGACAATTAACAGAATGAATGTAAAATTTACATTTTCAAGTAGATGCTTCGCATGCATTCGACTATGATCTTATGTGACATTGGCCTGATGCACCCCAATAAGTTGACTAATATAAAATGGATTTTCAACTTTCTCCAATACGCTATGGCTTTTGCCCACAACAATAGGGAAATAGGGATTATGGAAGCCTCATTGTAAAAGCACATGCGTGAAGGATATTTTTTCTTTATTTTGCTCATAATAAAGACACTGTTGCCAATTCTTTTCATAGAACTTTTTTTCTTTTTGTTTGAGATAAGAGACAACTGTAATGTGCACCCCATCCTCCTTTATATTGTGCACCATAATGAATTCCATATGGCTGCACATTTGATTTTTTTTTTTTTTTTTTTTTTTTTTTTTTTTTTTTTTTGTCTGAGCTATTTACTGGTGCTGTCTCTGTTTTTGCAGAATCTGATTGCTACTAAACTTGGAGTTCAAAGAATCACAGGTATTACCTTGTACGACAAAATAGAGAAAAAAGCCTATGACCCATTGCCTGATTTGGAGGTTGGTGATTTATGTTTTCTTTTTAATGTTATTTAACACTGCTTTCTCAGACAACTAACTAGCTGTTTAAAGTGCTATATTTTAAATTCAGTATTTTGAATCTCAGAAGAAATTATTTTGGTTATGCCTGCGTCAAGCTATACAAATTGGCATTTATTAACGATGAAATAGACTGCTGATAAGAGGATTGTGTTTGATATTTCAAGTTGGCCTGCTCAATCATGCTTGTCAGACTGCTTATCGAAGTTATCTATTTCATGTTGATGGTTGATTTCTGTTTGATAAATAATGAATTCTGTTTGCAGTTTAATTCTTTGGTGCCCAACATACTTGTTCCATTAACCATTTTGATGAGTTTCTGAAAATGTTGCAGATATTCGTGGATCTCGATTGATATACTGGATTGTTTCAATCAGTTGAGTTTGCATAAGCTGAATTAACATCATTTGTGTTTGGGGGGACTTCTGTCAACTCGGTAATGTCACAGCGGGCATCACCATAATTCATCAGAGAGTACTAGTGAATCAGATACTGAGCCCCATAAGGTCCAATTCATCTTTAGCTCGTTGAATGTTGACAGCTAATAGTCATCAGCAAGCATGACATGATGCTGTACTTTAACATGAAGTCCACTCCCACAAGACAGGTTCATTTCTTTATGATATTCCTTATGGTTTTGATTATTCAAGGATAAAATGCGAAGTTCAAATGTTGCCCCCGTTTGAGATTATCATTTATACTAGTTGTTTCCGTACATCTTAGATGTAAACAAGTTTTGTAAGTTAATTAGACAAGCTCCAGTGTATTTTTTATACTTTGAAGGAAAAATCCATGTATCGCGAGAATAATTGTTACATAAAATAATTCTACTGAATTTTTCATTATTTTGTGAACCATTTGTTATCTCTAGTTGATTCTGTGTCATCTAAAAGGATGGCAAAATAGTTGTTTGTATTCATTACGTGGTTGATTTTGTATATAATTTCAAAATGGGTAAGTTAATTCACTTCTCTCTTCATTTGATAATTAGGGAAATGTTGCTAAATCAATTGTCATATCGTGATTTTGTATATGTAGTATTATTGATTACAAATTATTAGACTCGATGTTCTTTCCCACAATGACTTTGCCACCCAATTTGTTGAGCCAAAACTCGTTTTCTTAGAAATTCGATTATTAAGTATGTACTTGGAATGTAATGTTTTAAGTGAGATTGGAATCATGTTATTGTCCAAGTTCAAATCATGTTAAAGTGAGAAATTTGTTGGTTAAAATTTATCCAACTTTCTTTACTAAATGTGAGAAACACTCAGGGGATTGAATTCTTTAAGTGAACTAGACAAGCTTCAGTTTATTTATTACTAAACCATAAATATGAAACAAACTATTTTTGGATTTAAGGTATCAGTACAAAGTTGCAGGTCCAAGTCCAGAAAGTATACAGACAGACCCGCAAAAGTTAAAACCAAAGCATAGTAATAACAAAAGCATCATAGAATGAGAGAGCCATGAGATTGGATTTTTCCGATCTCCTTGGACTCAAACTCAGATATGCGAGCCAGACAATGCCCAGTTAGCTTCACTTCCAACACGTGGCATGGTGGTGGTCATCCTTGATTGAACATCAACCTTGAAATTAGCCCCACACATCACTCCCTCACTGTCAATTCTAGGCATTGGCTTCATCTGACTCCTTGGATGCTCAAAGCTCATCAGCCCTTGCTCACTGTGGAACATGCACCCTGCAAAAAATTTAATCACTAACAGATTTAATAACTTCACCCAAAAAAATTTCCCATTATTTTGATTGTTTAACTTTACATACCAGTTGGAAATGGTGCAAATGATTTAGCACAGCTTGCTTTGATGACTTGCAAATCATCAGAAATGACAACTGACCCATCACCTGCAATGCCCCAAAAGAGTCTCACCCCTTCATTGGCATCCTGCACAACCAAAATCAACAAATCAAATATTAGCAAAAATGCAGCAAAAATTTTAGAGGTTAATTTGAAGAGGACTTGCCAGTGCAGCAAAAATGCTTCCAGCCTTGATATCGTAAACCACAAAGCCAAAGCTACCATCAAGATCCTTGAGGACCTCATGGGCAGGGTATGGGCCGCGATCACGAAGTGTCCGGTATGCTTCAATCACAAACATCGCCTCGTTGCTCCCTTTTGATAATCCATACTGTTTGTTGAGATTGCTCAAGTTGTTTAAGCTCCCCATGAATATACAATATATATTATCTATCCCACAAAACAACCTGCAATTTGCGTATCCAAAAATGTCACAAATCTTTGAAAAAAAAAAACACAAACAAATTGTGGTTGAGCAAAAGAAAGAGAGAAATTTACCTTTGTGATGTGGAGTAAGGATTTTGAAGAGGTGCGTAAGCAAGGGAAGCATCATTTCCAAAGTTGATCAGACATGTGTTTGAAGGATGAGACTGCACAAAGTCTTTGCAAATCTGTTCAGGGAGCTTCGGCTTTCTGGATGAACTCAAAGAAGCAGGACTATGGAGCTCCTGAGGTGGATTCACCACGCCTTTGTTGAATATTGCCAACATCGTTTCTTTCTTGAGAAAAGACTAAAGTAAAAAAAATGAATCAAACGAATGGAGAAGAAGATGATCAGAGTTGAAAAACAGAGCAAATGGGATGAAAAAAGTTGGGTGGAGGGTGGAATATTTTATAATGAAAAAGAATGGCCGACGTGGCAACTTTATCCTAAACTCAGTACACTTTTTGTTTTACTTAACAAGATTGTAATTAACTTAAAATTAATTTAATAGTTATCGGGAAGTTGAAAAAAAAATAGGGGCATTAGTAGGGTACGTTAGATTTGTTTTATTATTTTTTAATGGTTTTTATTTAGTAATTGCCTATTTGGATGGGGGATAAAAGTCCGAGGCTGTAATTCTTATCCACAACAAATGGTCAAGTCGTTGAGAGTTGTGACGGTGACAAGCACAACCATTCCTGTGTTTGATATGGGTGAATCCGAGTGTCCTTACGTGTCCACCTCCATCGTTACTGATTAGGGATTTAATAAAAAAAAAAAAAAAGTGATAATCTTACAAATATAAATACAAATGGATACAAAGATAACTAATACTCTTGATCTTTATGATTTCTCTCTTTCTTTTTCTTTTTTTTTGTTTTTTCTTTATTTTTTTTATTCATTTTATAGTCTTCTCTGTATAAGATAATATTTTTCTTTAAAAAGAATAATATTATACCAATAATCATTTTTCATAACTCTGATGTGATAGTTTATAATTGATCAGTTCACAATAGATCTCACGTCGCATATATTCAACTAATTAATTACGAATTGATCAACTGTGAACTGATACATCAAAGTTTGTGAAAAAAAAGATTATTGGTGTAGTATTACCCCCAATACATCATATAAAAGTTGTAAAATAATATATAGCCCTCATATATATAATTACATAAAACCCTCGAAAATGTTAAACTATAAAACCCTTAAAATACATGCAGCTACCTTATTTCATGTAAAAATACGAATAACCCCCTGGACAAATACATTCGTACCCCACTTGTAAAGCAAAATTTTAAGAAACCCACTATTCATATTAACCAAACCTGGGCTTGGGTTTGTTACATACCTATGCCTAACTCAACTTCTGAACTTTCTTTGGATTCTCTTTTAACTGCATAATTCCTCAAAGAAAGCATGTCAAAATGGTACTGGAATTTGAACATGAAAATCCCAATTGAAATCTTGTTTCAATTAGACCGAGAATGCTAAGTGATGGACATATGAAGTTGCATAATTTTGTTTTATGTATAACATTAAGTTGATATTCAACAACAAATTGATCATAAAAAATAATATATAAAAACTATTTCTCATAAACTGATATAATAATTTTAACGAGTAATTTTTTAAATTTAAAATCATCGGATCATGTTTGTAGATAGAAGCTCGTATGAAAAGTAGATGGATTATACCATTTATTACTCAGAATGTGATACAACCAAACTTCCATCCATAGAAAGAGCAATGAAAGAAAAAAGAAGGCGAATTACCCATTTTGACTATCTATTTGTCTTACAAGTGTGTCTGTAAGTTAAAATTTATAAATAAAATGTTACACAACTTGACAGACTGATTACTGTACATTGTGATAAAACAATAATGAAAATTGAAAATAAAATAGAATTTTGCCAATTTCACGCACTATAGTCTCTATTGAAATATTTGTCTTCTGGGTAATAGTAGGCTTTCACCAAATTCCCTCCAAATTTCCTCCCATTTAATGCGGTTTTTGCAGTGGCACAACCAGCTATGTCATAATACTCCAAGAAAACCTGCAAGTTTTTACCATAACATTTCATTACAATAATTCCATGTTTTAAGCAAGCAGAGCTGCAGATTATCATATTTCCACTTTATAAAGCTTCGGGATTACCAAACAAAATCATCGCTCTTAAGTTTAATAATGAAGTCCTCACGGCGCAAGTTACGTTTTTAAAGGTACAAACTAGAGAAGAAGAAGAAAGAAAGCAAGAAATATAGGACTACGTTCAACATTATCAGGTTCAACCAAAGACTTGAATGTTAGATGAGCACAAGAAAATAAATTACCTTTCCAACACCTGGAAACTGCTCTCCATTTGGATCTGGGCGAGGAATAACAACATTCACCAAGGTTCCTGTTTATTCGATCCAAGAAAAATAATATTTACTATTTCTACTAAATAATTATAATAACAATATAAACATCATTCCACTAAGAGTCCATTGGTTCTGAGAGAGAATATAGCAAACATTTTATCATTTGTAACACAATAACAGCACCAAACTTTAGGTTATAATTAGCCACAGCGTTGGAAAGCATCATTATTCATTTAGCATCCATTTCAATGACAAATTTATTTTATAGAAACTCAATAAATCAGACTTAAGATGCACTACTTATCAGTTTTAACGATAAAATAGCAATTATTACATTCGCATTACTTATCAGTTTTAACGATAAAATAGCAATTATTACATTCTCTTTGCCAATAGAATACAGATTTACAAATATAATTAGTCCTGTGGACTAATACCCATATAAGAATATTTGTGTTTTGCCTAAAAAATCTTTCTGCAGTTTCCCAAATTTAACCATGTTGACCATTAAAGAGGTCCACAATCCCCAAAGTAACAACAACTGGCAATAGTGTTTCCACATGTTTCGCTCTATGTCAAATGAAAAAACTTAAAATAAAATTTCTCAGACAGCCTTAAAATGCATTTCCCTCAAGCAATGGAATATGGAAAAATACTATAAAATTTAATATCTGATGCGTAAAGTGTAGTACTATAAGAGGTTGCTCTTCGTTACTCAAGAGAATGTCCTTTGGTAAAGCAAAGGTGAAAACTCTGAAAACTTACGATTCTAACTCTTCTGTGGGTGATTTGGAGAGAAATAAATAGCCAAATCTTTGAAGAGAACAAAGGAGAAATCAGTACTTGAGGGAAAAAATCAGTTTTTTTTTTTAATAATGCTACAGTTACCGAAGGATGCGCACCGAATGGCGTGGCACAATCCTGACCGTTTATTCATTATCAGTTAATATTAATCAATGGTCAAGATTTTGCCACGTCATTCGGTGTGTATTTTCGGTGACTCTATCATTTTCCTTTTTTTTTTTTTTCTGCTGTTATTTGGGCATCCATTACAAAAGATTTCCAAGATAACTCATTCTTCTTCATTTTTCATAACTGACTAGGGGTTTTGAGCTGACATGTGCTTGTTTTGTTTTTGGAGCTATCTAGGCTGTTCTAATCTCTCTCTCTTTCATTTTGATGTTAATATTGCACAAATTAAAGAGGGTTTATGAGTTTCTTTAAGGATCCTGGCATTTTTTCCTGGTCCACAACTGTAAAATTTAACTTTCAGTATCAATATACATTTTTGTTTCCAATAATTTTAAAAAAAAAGAAAAAAGAAAAAAAGAAGTGATTAAAAATATTGGATCCCTTAAAACCCAGTGAGTTCAGTTAATAACTTAAAGGACACTATAAATCAACCTAACAATGTTCCATATTACCTCATGAAACTACAAATAGATTAGTTGCACAAACATATCATCATTTGTTAAATTATTACATACCATATTTACTGCATTCTTCTCTCATGTCTTCCAGTACTTCCTCATACTCTTCATCATCCGCCAGAACATCAGCAGTAATTGCCTTTATCATAAAGATAACACCATTAATCAGCCAGCAGTCAATTATATTCCACCCATCAAATTCAAAGAAAGAACCACATTGTCAATCTCAATTTCACCAGCAAAACATCTGTAATTTCTTATTTGCTATGAGGATGTACTGGCATTTGGATCAAAAGAGAAAAGAAAATCATATTCTTCCCTGTGATTCAAATATATTCTTTTCCTTTTCTCCCAAATAGAGAAAGAGTATGATGGCAGAGTAATCAAAGTATGAAGATAAGAAAAAAAGAGATTGTTATATAATATATCAGAGGCAAATATACCTCAGTCAAACATAATACTTTAGCTGGACTTTCTCCAAATGCTGAAGGTGCTATCCCCCCTCCAGGAAGATTCATAACACCAGTTTGCAAGGCCATTTTCTGAAACCAATATGCACATATGTCAGAATGTAGGATAACAGCAGGGAAAAAGGAGGAATGAACATGAGGAGCTCCACAAGTTTGGTTTACCTGAATAGCAATGTGCTGCTGAGCCTGAGCTAATATATTATCTTGTTCTGACTTAGATTGCCCACTGCTGTAAAATTCCATTACGTTGGCACAAGGTTTCAGGTGTAATACATGGTAATATAATATTAAGAGATGCATTCAATTTAACATTTAATACATAGACAGATAACAAAATAAAGAAAGTGACACTAAAAAGGGAAAATAGCGGAAAATGCAACAAATCCAAATGTCTCAGAACCTGAGCTTTATAGCCAGATGCACAGTCACTTTATTTTTTCTATTTCCCTCAATCAGAAGTTCAAGAACATAGGACCAAAAACACAATCCGAATTATTGGCATGTACATTGTATGAAATTAAGATAAAAGAAGTTTCCATTTTATGGGAGTCAAACATATCTAACCATAACTGCTTCCAAATGCTGGCAAGACAATATTCAACTTCTTATGACATTTCTTCCCCAGCAAAAGTTTCATTTCCACATATACATTCCTACAGAACCTTCTTTACCCGCAAATATTTTCTTCACCAAATTGACAACCATAAAAGTGGAAGCAATGGAGGGGCAAAAGGGGAAGAAGACACCAAACAATTGAATCAAGGGATCTAAAGTCACGCTACTGGTAAAAGATACTGTCATTTCTTCCATGTCAATACCATTTTATTAAATAACACCAACCTGGCAGTTGCACGCCGAACAGTTAAAGTTTTATCACCCATTTTCAAGCCATTCAGAGCTGCGCACGCAATGTCCGTCACCGTTGGATCCTGAGGTGCTTGTACATTAGTTGACCAGTTACCAAAAATATTATGGCAAATGTCATGTAATTGTATGTATGAATACTTTCTTGTTGAAATATGCTATAATATATGGTAGTATGTATACAGAACCTGATTAAATGAAAAGGCCAGGTTATAAACAGTAGTCTAAAACATGGATTAAAAAAGACAAGCTCTTTCTACATATTCAGCAACCAAAGCATTCTTCAAAATAGAAATGCATGCTTTAGTCATAAAACACAAGAAAGGTACTTGAAGATCAAAGTTTTTAAGTGTCAACTTAATTTACCTGATAGACACAGAAACCATATCCTTTAGAGTTCCCTGTATCTCTATCCTTCACAAGGTCAAAGCCACGGAGAGTCCTGCAATAAGTCAGGAGTGCCATTAGAAATTTAGATACCATAGGCCGAGCAGTAGGACCATAAAAATCAGGAAGGAAACCACTGTCAAGGAAAAAGTATGAAAGAATGGCTGATATTTTTGAGCCCCTACCCAAAGGACTCGAGCAACTCTCTTATCTGTGCTTCAGTAAAATAGTACGGCAATCCACCCACAAAGACACGATCAGGACCCTCTGCTCCGCCAATTGCCCTGTTAATGAAATAAGAGTTAGCTAACCAACAGAAAGGAAGATTTTTCAACTTAAAAGCATATTAATTTATGAAATAGTACATCAATTTATAAAATAAACATATTAAGAATTTGATGTGAAAAAAGAAATACTAAGAATAAAGAAAATTACGGGTCCTGCAATCTGGGGGTTACAACACTTGATTGTAACCTATAGCATCATCATCCTAGTAAAATACTAATGCTACCACAATTGAAGAGATCCTTCAGACCAATCTTTGGACTAATGATGGTGCCAACTTACCCTGGTGCGAGACCAACAGCTGCCAAGTTAAGGTGAGGACTTGGTTGGCCAGGACCAAGTGCTGCAGCTAATGTAGGGTTGTAATCCGTAGGCCTTCTTACCCTTACAGCAACCCCCTGGTAAGATCAAAGCAAGCATGTCTAATAAGGCTAGCAATCCTCCACAAATCACACATCTCCTCTAATACCTTAAATCACATATGATTCAATAAAACAAGCAATTATTTAGAATGATATAAAACTATAGACAAATTAAATGAAAGGTGGCATAATTTAAGTTTGCTCATAAGAATGAAGATAAATAAAGGAAAAAAAAAAAACTTGCATGCCTCAAATATAATTCCGTCCAATGCCATTGCATTACTTGCTTCTTCAACAGTTCTCATCTCCACAAAAGCAAATTTCTTCTCATGATTAATGTAAACATTCACTACTGCATCACCTGCAAGTTCAAATACTACATTATGCACCAAGTTCAAATAGAACATATGAGATATACATTTACATACTCAATTAAAGAATGTTGGACCACCTGGACCAGCAGAATTTCCCCCAATAGCAGCCATAACCTGGCTAAAGAATGTTGCAATTGTCTGTTACAAACATACACAAGAAACTATCATTCATAATGCTTCACAGTATAAAAAGAAATCATCTGTAATCATATTGATCAGAGAATACGAGGTGACATTTTGAAATTATAAAGGGAATGATTTGCAGCCCAACTCAACTGGTAGACAATAAGGTATCTTGCTATTTAACACCATACTAGTTAAATAACATTACGCTGTAAAAATTTAGAAAAAACTAATTCCACCCACATAAGCAATTTGCCACCTGTTTCTCCTAGGGTGATGTTATATTTCCAACTTAATATCTAATTAGACCACTTCCGTATTTACACTCGAATTAAAAGTCTGTTTGAAATAGAATTCAGATATAGTCCCTCACTTCGGAAATAAAGGATATAAAAATATGATTGCTTGAAATGTTTTTGAAAAGAAATTCTGAATAGAGTCCTAAAATCTATGTAAATTTAGGAAAAAAATAAAAAATCATTTTCTGAGTTCTTTATAACCAAAATCTATATTCCTGATTGTAAGATTATGTAATGGCTGAAATCAAATAAAAAATAAAAAAGAAAGGACTTGTAGAGTCTAAAATGAATAAATCCATAACAATATAATAAAAAGAACCCAATGCCATGTCAATGTTGTTCAACTTGACAATTGCAAAAACACAAGCCTCTTCATACTTTCAGCAAGAATCAAGCAAAGTAGAAGCGAGAGCAAACCTGTTCATTAGCCAAGGGGGGAAGCCCACCAACATATACCCGGCGAGCATGCCTTGTAGCCTGTAACAAGGCAAAAAGACAACACATATTGAATCAATTTACACATCACAATTTCAAATCCTTATGAAAATATGTTGTAACCACAAAAAATAAAGAAATAAAATCATTCTTTATCTACCTGTTGAGTCATGGCTTGGATCGGCATCAAAGGAAGAGCTCCCAACTGTAACACATGAAAAAAGTATGCATAAACATACATTATATGTATATGCCCTTTCCCATCCCACAAGTCCTATATATATAATTGCAACATAAATATATAAATATCAACTGAATGAAACAATTTCTGAACAGCTACATATGAAAAACATGCACCTGAGTTCCAAAAGGTAACATATTTTGAACTGTTCCTGCAGTTGTTTGAGGAGCACCAGGCAGTTGCCCTGCATAATAACAGAATGAAAAGAGTAAGACAAGGATGACTTAATTAGCTGAGAGATAAACACACGCATGCTGCTACTACATCTAAAAGAACAACAAACTAGAAGCCTAGAATTATTTATCTCATCATAAAACTATAAAGAGAAGCCTATTGCATACCTAAAATTACCACTCAATTAATAAAGTAAGAAATGAATTCCATCACTGCAGATGCTAGGGAAATATGTGTAAGTCTACCAAATGATAACTGTTGCCGGTTGAAGGCGAACAAGATCCAGCTAATCGACGCATTGGTTCTCCGTTGAACACAAAATCTACAGTAGTCACGCCCATGGGTAGCACAGTGGGACATGTTGCCCAACATTGCCTTCTTACCCAACCGATAAACACAAACACAAACAAACAAACACACACAACAGCCAAACAACACAACAATGGTTCTCAGTTCCCATAGTAAACCAGTAGATAAGATATTAAAAATAATAAATTTCATTAAAAGCCTACAGGTAAGTACAGGAAAATGAAAGACAGAAAACATTGCAATTTCTGCAATTAAATAACTCTTTTAACGATAGAAATAGTCTGGCATAATTCACCAGTCAATAAGAAGTTATTTCTGCACATTGGAAAGAAGATGGAGACAAACCTGGAACAGCAGCAGCAGGCAGCATAGCAGCAACAGGTGGTGCCATATCAAAACCACTTCTCCGCCTGCTGTAGATAGAATATACATGCAACAAGATGATGACAAGTAAATAACACTTTAAATTCAAGATATAAACGTGATATTAACTTTAGCAATTGACAACATTGAAAAAACATCAAATGCATGCAACACAAGGGGATAAGTAACAAATCATGAGAGTAAGAAGAAAGCAATGTTATAAATGCAAAATGTTACATTAAAGATGTTCATGTAGCAATGCATCCTCTATGATAACATGAAGTGAATATAATTGGTAACTGGGAACCTGTACAACAGAACAAGGGCACTCTCACTACAACACTTGGCTAAGTGTAAAGATACTAAATGCAGGTCTGGCCCCTATACCCAAGTTACAATTTGTTTTGACTGATAGCTGCTTGGTATAGACATTGTAATAATGCAGAACACAGGAAAAGTCACAATACTATCAGAAAAACTCAAGCCCACAATCAGGTGTTTGCTCTTTCAGATTCATCTCAACACCGCTCAAAAACTCCTCACTGGAATAAACTACACTCATATATGCTATGCTATTGCATACCTTTTTGAAGGAGAACGGGACCGAGAGGGTGATCCAGATCGCTTCCTTGATGTTTCCTTTGAACGGGAGCGTGATCTATGCCTATGCCTCTTTTCTTTGTCTCGATCATAGTCACGGTATCTGAAAAAAACAGCACATTCAAGAACCAAAACAAATATAAAAACATATTTAGATTAATAAACACCTGTACACTGATTCACATATTCTAAATGGGTAATTAAAAACACATTCATAGCACTGAGCACATAAATAACCTGTCATGATCACGACCCCGTTGACGGTCATAATCATCATTCTTATCCCTTCCTCTGTCATCCCTCATGCTTCTGTCCTTATAATCCCTACGATGACGATCTCGTTCTTGGTCTCTAGTCCTGGACCTCTCATAATCTGACCCCCGAGAACTCTGCAGAAATAATCTAACAAATTAGTCAGTTCGTCCAAACTATCTTTATCACATCATTTTTCAGCATTCTACTTTCACAAATTATTCTTAATTACATTTCACGTTGCCTCAAATAGCAAAACTGACCCATTAAAATCATTTCTAGGTCATTCCAAACATCGTATTCAGTTTAAGTCCACCTCCACTTTTCAGTTTACATAGATGGATTTCTATTATGAATTGAACGTTAATCCACCAATTCTATAATAAAAGAAATTTATTACTAAAAAAATTACAATTAAGAACAGCATTTTGAGCATCAATTCAATAAAAAAAGCTGACGAAATAAAGGAAAAAGAAAACGAGACCTTGTGATGCGAGTCTTCGCCATTGGCATCATATCGACTATCTTTACCGGACATTTCAGCTTCAATTTCCAAACCCTAATTCTGATTTTGAAAAATGAGAACGATAAAATTAATCCCTGGTATAATGTAATGCGTTAAATCTGTTTACTTTGCTTTCTCAGTACCGCTGAAAATTTAATTCAACTGTGGTTTGTAGTGAGACTTCGTTTCGGGCCGCCATTGATAATCTTATCGAACTAGGTCTAGCTCAAGCCCAATTTTTATGGGCGACAAAAAGCCCAATTTTAGTGGGTAGAAAAAAGCCCATTTTTTGTGGGCCGAAAAATGCCTTGCTGAGTAATTTGTGATGCATAACTAAATAGTGTTTATGGGATTACATGTCATGATTTTTCCAGGTATTAAACTTATCCAATTTCAACTCACAACAAATTTTTTTTTTCTTTTTTTTTAATGACCAGGGGCATCCAACAGTTGAGGTCAGTTTATGCATACTCTAATTAATCTCCTAAAATTCTGAAATTATCAGTCAAGTATAAGTTTCAGTAGCTATCCTTATTAGCACTCGAGAAGGAATTTGAACTCAAGATCTCTTGATTAATACATCAAAAAATTCATATTGAATCATTAGGCTACTCAAAGATAGTTTAAGAAGAAAGAAAGTATAATAATTATTCCAACAATTACAAGAAAATTTTTCTTTCTATTCTAAAAATCTCAGTAATATTTATAGTATAATTGTCTTTACGAACTCACAAATTTTTTTATTATCCTAATACGCTTTATGTATAAAAATGCAGAGAAAAATAGAAAATCATATTTTTGTAAAATTGATACTATTAAAACCAAAATTAAATTAATAACGTGTGATTGTTCTAAATTGTTGAACTAATATATAATACACAATCATTTCTCTAATGATTTTAGCCGATTAACATTCGAGTGAGTCCATTTGTGCATTTAATATTGTACAGTGGGCTCTCTGAGCGCAACGAATTTATCTTCCAGATTTCTCCAGAAACAAGATCTTGGACTTAAGATAAATCAGAAAATTGGGGCTATAATTTGATCCTCAATTGATATCTTAATCCCAATTATTGGATGGGTTTCAACATCAACCTGGATTTATATTCTAGAATTGCAAGTACGGTCGGTGTATTCCAGTCGTGTACGGATGTGACAAAACACGACAACAAACTCGTTTGTCTCGACGTGAAAAAATAATCGCCCCGACAGTCTTTTTATCGGATGAAACCTAACGCGGAAAGGCCGCGGAGAGAGAATCTACACGTGTCCTTTGTCTGATGGTAGCACGGGTCTTGGACTGGGTACACCGCCTCTTAGGTTTTCTGTGGTTGACTAATATTAACGTCAGTGCTGACACAGCATCCTCATCACATAGCGTGGGGCCCTTGATGGGGAATTGAATCGTGTGGCTACAAATTGATCACAGTTTGCCACCACGGGCCCCCGGCAATGAAAAAGGAAGAAAATAAAAATTAAAGAAACGCAATGAATTCAGGGAGATTTAATTTCCATTAATAAATAAATAAGAGTTCACTTTTATGAGCACGCGCAAAATTTGTCAACTAGAGGGAAAAAATTGATATATTTTAATATTTATTTATTTATTTATAATTCATATCTGAGTGATTGCCATATAAAGAAAATAAAGTAAATAAGAGTTTACAAGAACATATATTAAGATTTTATTGGATTCATATAATTAAAGAGGGGTAATATTATACTTATAATTCAATCTCACAATCTTTGATAATTTCCAGTTTTTTGTTGGTGAATTTTGAATTTTATCAGCAAAAAAGTGGGAGTTGTCACCTAAAATTTGTAAGATTGAGTTATGAACTAATTTTCATTATAATAAAAGTAATTGAACTGCAATATTGAAACAGTTTTATATATAAAAAAATTAACGAAGAAAACATATCCAAATTCTGTCGCATTACTTTTTTTTTTTTAATTCATCGACATGGCTATGCATCGATATAATGAGAATTTCAACACCGCTGGCATTTGGGAACGATAGTAGAGCATCCACGTTTTCCGGTAAGGGTACGCAATCAATACAAGTGGTGACATATATAAAACCTGAAAGTAAATTAAGTTGGTTAATTTTGTGAAGGTCAGGTTGTTTTCACAAGTGGGGTGTGATTCCAACTTAATTTTTTGTAGTCAAAATTGTACCACGTAAATTGGTATCATCCTTGGAAAATCTTGGTCTAGAATGGCCAATACTCAAAATTGAATCGTTTTCGCACCAAGAATATCTCGTGCATTTGATAGTGTCTAGTGGTGAATTATATAGTATGGATTCATATATATAAATAACTGGCTTCCACATTCAAACAATAGTTGTGATGCGTGATTATTTTAAAACAAATATTATAGATAAATAATAATATAACTAAACATCATACAAGAATATATGTTAATCAACACTTTATTAAATGTTAATTTAACACTAAGGTTAGTGATATTAACTTAACCTAATTAACCAATCCTTTGATGAGAAAGTTACATACAATGTGCCATTATAAAAGAAAATATCTAAAATACTAATAAACACTACTGAATTGAGCAAACGGTCCCAAAGCGAAAACTTATAAAATTGTCCCCTTTGATCAAATTACAATTAATTTATAGATGATTGAAAAACTTTGTAAGATTGGATAACTACGGATAAACCAACTTCTAGGTGGTTGAGTGGTTCGATAAGGATTCTTAGGTGTATTATTCAAGAGATCCGAAGTCTAAGTCCCTTATCGATTGTTAATAGAGACAATTATTACAGTTCTTACTAGATTGTTAGTTTTAAAGTCTCGAAAGATTAATTAAAATATGCATAAACTGGCTTGAACATCTTAATAATTTAAAAAAAAAAATGATAGATGATATTTTGGCAAATGGTGTGGACTAGGTGTAGGTGAGGGCATGTTATTTGGTATATTCGGATGTATTCAATTAGATGCCATGACTATGGTGGGTACAAAACCACAAATAATAGTTCATGCATAACAACATAATAGTCCTTGGTACGGTTTGCACGTTTTTCCAAGACGTAATGTGGATTGATGGTGCGGTTGGTTGTCCATAAGTAACCGCTGCTGATGAAAAATGCAAATTTGATTACAACTGTGTAGGTTTATTGTTTGTATTTCAAGTATTCAAGTTTACCAATAACATACTTCATATTTTAAATTGCACCAAAAAAACTTATTTATCTCATAGAAGTCTAATAAAACTTATGAAAAACATCAACGGTTACTATTGTATTTATCCAAGAAAAATAGAGTACGTTATATATAATTAATTAGTTAGTTGGATATTCAACAATAAGTAAATCATTAATTTGAAATATAATTTTAAAATATTTGATTTATTAGATTTTGAAGTGAATTTTATTTAATATATTTTAATTATAAAGCAAATGTGTATACTGTTTTATCTTTTTTCTCAAGTACTATTCGAAGGTGTAGATGGAGGTTCTTTACTCTTCTCCTCACGAATCTTCAATTCATCTTCATTTGTAGCAACCAAATCCTCCCGTGTATTTAGATAAGAAATAATAACCATGGTAGAATCCATGATATCAAACAACGCATCAATGACATCTTTGAATTTTTGTCTTGCAATATTTAGATTCTCTAAGTTGGTGCTACCATTATGTAGAATCTCTTTCAACTCCAACTATCGTCAGCCATTGCCAAATCAACAGGGAAAAAAAGCAATGAAATTCTATAAATTTATGAAAGCGCTACAAATATAGATTTTCTTATAGTTGTATAGAAATAAACATAACAAGACAGGTTAAATAAAGATACCGATTGAATTTATTAGTTTTTTTTTTTGGCTTTTATATTACACAAAATATCTAATACCGTTTCCTTTGACCTTTTTTGATTCTGAGTTCTTATCTTTTAGTTTCTCTCTTGCAGTATTTAAATTGTCGACGTCGGTGTTAATATTGGCTACAATCTCTTTCAACTCTAATGTCCTGTCAGCCATTGGGAAATCAATCGAGGAAAAAAAAAAAAAAACAATGAAAGTCTACAAATTTATAAAAGCAATACAAATACATACTTCCTTATCCTTATATAGAAATAAACATTAAAGGATGACCTAAATAAGAATTAAAAACGAACAGTTGAAAAATCAACTGATAACTCCTAATAAATAAACACACTGATTAAAGAACGTAAAAAAACTCACCGAACAACGTGAAAGGAAAGGGTAATGGATATTTTGTTAAATATAAAAGTGAAAAAAAAAAAAAAGTATATATTCCGATCGGTGTGTTTATTTATTAGACATTGCCTGATTGTTTTCACATTACTAAGTTTTATGTTTCTATGCAGTATACTAAACAATATGTATATGACATTTATGCAATACGGTTAATCATATATAATTTCTTATTAAATATGAATTAGAAATCAATATTACAAAATCTAAATCATAAAGAAACAATTGTAATAACCGGAGTGATTCAACAATTGTTTCATACACCAGTCACAAGACCGTAACAATTTGCTGAACAATGTTTTATTATGGTGAAGTATTATTCTCTTCCATACACCAGTGATAGGAATGTAATGTGTTTGTTGAGCAATGTAATGTTTATAAACATCAAGAAGTCTAACCATTTAGATTTGTTAGATTTTATTAGGTTTTTATTTTCATTTAAGTTATGGTCCGACAATTTGCTTATTTCAATTAAACATTGTTCAACATATTTTTTGAAATAGGCAATAATAATTTAAATGGTGGATTTTTTAAAGATAATAACAATATGAAATGTCATTTTCATGCGATATTATATTAATTAAGTACTTAATGTATTAGATTAGTAAGACTCATTTTTAATTTCCATTTAAGTTATGGTTTGGCAAATGGCTTATTACAATTAAAATGGTTCAACATATTTTTTGAATATGTAATAGTAATGGTGATTGGTGGATTTCTCATCACGGTTTAGCATATTACAAATGGTCAGCACATTACAATGGTTCGGCCTTATTGAACAATACAAGTTACAATGGAAGGAGCATCCCTAACCATTTAAAGTTGTTGTCGTGTCCCAGTGATATTTCCATTTTCTTTGTTGCATGTTTCCAGACATTGGTTTG